TCGCGTTAGTTTCCTAACACCCGAACTCGGGACACCTCGCAGTAGAATAAATCTGCTTCTGATTGCATGCAGTCTCAGTTAATTTAATCACAGACCATGTCTATTAATTTTCGGCTGTGTCCATACCGAATTAACATCTGTGAAGTCAGTGCTTGCAATTTTTAAGGGATATTTTCATTTCGACCATCATCAATTTTAACCATACGTGTGCGCACTTATTTACCCAAAAGTCAACACTCCTATTATGTTAATGGGTTTCAGTAACTTCACCCGCCAGAACATGCTGCTGGTATTTGCTTCTTTCGTGGTTTCTGTAGACGCCCCTAAGCGTTTTCTAATCCTCCACATCCCCTTTATTGTTTATTGCGTACTTACGTCGTTCTGTTATAATACAGACAAAACTGTCAGAATATCAAAAGTCGACTGCATTCACAGAAATTCCCGGCCCTCTGGAAATTCTCGCCTTCTGCTTCGTACCAACGGCTTGTTTTGCTGGACCTCAGGTACCGCCGTATAGTTACTACTTTAGTTTGCTTTGATTACCATTTCTTTCCAAAGTCCGGCTTGGTGGCACAACTTCCTGGTATTGTTACTGTGGGAACCTCAAGAATAGATAGCTTATGTGCTCGTTTTCCCCCTTTATTCTTTCTGCTGTCGTAGGAGCGATTTATTTTGCATATAAGCCAGAAAATTGATTCTGTAGAGTCAAAGAGTCCAGTTACAAGTGCAACCTGTTTTTTCTCAACACTTGGCAGGTATGAGGGGACGCTCGTTGATTCCAGTTGGCAATCAGCTACCTAACCAATATTCACACCATCAAAAATAAGTAATAAGTAGTGATAGCATCTTTACTATCGCGTGAACCTTGATAGTAATTTTCAACATATATCTGAAATACCCGGAGCAGATGCCGCTCTTCCATTAGTTATGTCTCGATAGGTTTTCCTTTGCTGATGTAGAGTAGCACTTGGCATTTGTACTTGTACTTGCTGCGGTCGCAATCATGACTCATCTAGCCGGCCTCGGTCATGTCCCGAATGATACTTCTTCAAGCGTGACGATCCCTGCCAGCAGACCTGGACAGTTCGATCTATTCTCTTCGCCAGCGCCGGAAACCGAATATCGAAGGTCCAAGAACCATTTCCATGTCCTGACGGACTGATTCGAGCCAGATTTTGAGCTGACCCCTCTTCGACGTGCTCAATTAGGTAACGGTTTTGGGTCGAGGGCGGTAACACTGAGCTCATGAGGTTAATAATGAAAAGCGTGTCCAAACCACCTCAGTCGTCTTTCTTGGATGTTCTGGGTTATCCTTGCGATGTTGTCGCAGCGAGTGCGGACTGTCCCATTCGCGAAGAAGTCGGTGTACCTCACCCGAAGAATGGTCCTCAAGCGGTAGTTGTCACATACCTTCAGTTTCCCTTCATCTTCCACGCGCATTGCCCAGCATTCGCACCCGTATAGGAAAACGGACCGCAGAGATGCACGGTACACGGTGAACTTCGTGGCAATTGAAGTTTCGCGTCGGGTCCATAAGCACTTTCGAAGGCTGGAAAAATCTCGTCGAGGTACGTCGATTCGGGAGACAATACCATCCTTACTCTGTCCATTCGGCAGCAACCTCGATCCGAGTTATTTGAAACTGTCTACTTCTTCAGGTTCATAGCTATTGTTTGGAGCGGTGCCTTCTCTTGGACAGGGATGCAGCGTGAGAACACTTCGGTCTTCTTAGCGTTTATGGACAAACCGACCAATTAAGCGACCACGTTCACCCGCGACACCATAGACTTAGATTGCCAAAGCTAGAAGCTAGTAAAGCGATATCATCGGTATAGTCGAGA